CATTTTCAACCTGTCCTACTCCTGTAAAGCCATGACGTGGCCTGTTGCTGAAAACATTTATAGTCCTCTTCCTTTTTTCTTTTTCTACACATAACCCATGTAAATTTTTTTTTTAGAACATGTGCTTGCTTCTGTCAGAGAGGTGTTATATCACAGGCTATATCACTGGGCTACAGACTAGTAGGACACCTTAACTACAGGACTGAGGTCAGGTGGTGGTTTAAGTACGGAGCCCTGGGCCGTGCAGTCCCTGCGATCACTACCAGGATGTCTGTCCTACTGGTTTAAGGAGCCAGAGTGACCTTATTTGTCAAAGTTGAGAAGAACACCTGCAAGAACCCAGGTAAGTCCTGTGGGAGCAGGTGTTTAATTATATAGGAAGGGACAGTTCAGTGAGAATCACCTGTCCCTCCCATACCTGATCACAGTTAGAAAGGCAAATTATCAATTAAAACAATCTTGTTGCCATGCTCATCTGATAGTGGTTCTGTGAAATCCCTTCTCAGAAACAGTTTGTAGAATCTAACTTGAAATTTTACATAGTTGTTCTAATTAATTTACAAAGATGGTTCTGCCAGGTCAGACGCAAAGGTCATGTTAAGTGGCAACATCCCATTTTCCCTGCAGGAGTCATTAAAGTTTTATTTATCCTAGTCATCTGTACTACTCTTGCTAAATGAGGAAACAAAGGGATAATAATTTAAGCTTTTCCGGTGTGGCATTGCAGGAGCAGATTTCTCTCCCAGTGATCTGTTCAGGGACAGTGATTTGAAAATGAGGTGACATGAGTTGACCACAAGCAGTCACTCTGTCCTTTGGCTGAATTTGTATTAGCCAACATGTTTCTCATGATGGGACCTGACACCTCCCCTGGAGCAGAGCAATAAAGTGGAAAGGCTACACTCTGATCAAAAGTTATGCTTTAAAATGTCTACACGTTATATGTAAATTTTGTAAGATGGAAATTTTTGAAGAAAAGCCCACATGACTACATTTACACAATCAAATTTTCTCCCCTCACGTACTGAGTGCTCAGTATGTGCTAAGTCTCTATGGCTGGAGCTTTTTCCTGGGGTGAATGTCTGAGTGAAATGGATTTACTCTTAAGGATTAATGAGAAGACTTTTACCACATAGTGAAGGGTGGCTCAAAAAATATGTGAAGTTTATGATTATGCGGAAAAGGGCCTGCTTTGTGTGAACATGTTTTACTCATTACTTTGTACTGTAAGTGAAGTAGGTGTAGTGACGTGATACAGCAAAGAATCACTGAGCCTGGGCTGTTTGCTGATGTACAGTCCGGGAAACTGCATTGGAACCATTAATGTCATGAAATATGGAAGGAAGTCAGTCCTCCAGATTACACTAAAATATACCTGATGAACCTGCCACAATAAGTCTCTTAATTATCATTACTGCATTATGGTACTGCTGCCAAGTTGATCAGAAAGTTACTAAGTTGCCAATAAATATTTGTCTAACATTCATGCATATTTAAATCTGTTTCTGCACTCATAATTCTGAAAATGAGCAGTGACTGTGCAGAAATACATATAGTCTGAAACGGACTCTTGACACTTTTGAGTATTTACTTCTTAGAATTCAAGAACCACTCATTTTGAACCAAGTCATTCAAGAGAAAACGCCAGCAGGTGTGGCACCTATAGGCCTATTGGGAAAGTACAGAGGTAGACGTTTGTGCACGCGCGCGCACCCTCACATATGACTCATCTCGTCTAAACCAAAGCACTTTGTCCATCCATTCACGTTACACCCATGCAAGAACGCGCAGACTCAAACTCATCTTGGGGCGCGACACTTATAGTGAAGTGGCTATATAAGTCCATTCACTTTAAATAACTATAGACTTGATTTTTCCAAGAAGTGAAGGAGGGTGGCATCTCGCCAGCTGCTTGGCAACCTACACGGCTGTGCTGGACCAGCTCTAAAGACCGAAGGTAAAGTAAAGCATCATTTATGTGATCGACACTGTGAGTTTGCCTTCTTTGGCTATATATAGGCTATTCTTATTTTCTGGGCACTACTTAACTCCAAATAAACCTGATTTGTTAAAAAAAAAAAGATCTACTGCTTTGGCTTCACAAAGGTCGAATGTTTTAACAAATCAAAATACGGATGTTTAACCTTAGTAATTGCATTGCATTTTCAAACGTGATGTTGTTTTATAGTAATGGAAATAGATGCAAAGACAGCAGGCGGTAATACTGTGCCGTCACTGCACGTTTTTACAAGAATTATTTGCGTTATTAACAGTGATGAAGGTGAATCAAGAAATCTCTTACAGCAGTAACTAAAAAGTAACATCTTAATTGACAGTTACAAACCAGATGCATTATTGCATTACTTGTTTTACGTGCGTAAATTCCTCTTTACGCAGCACATTTCACAATAAAGTTAAGTTAAAAGGCAAAGATGTTGCATAAAAAATAACCCAGGAATTCCATTTTCTTCTCAGATTCCCATTGATATCCTGACATGAAGCTCAATTTACTTGGTACCACCGTGATTCTGCTAGTTGTCTTCTTACCGCGCTACCAATGTCGGGCTATTGAGAGCCCTGGCGGTGCCCTACGCGTCCCAGCTCCCCAATCCCCAAACTCCCAGCAGCAGCAGCCTGTTCCCATCCTGGAGCGTCTTGGGGAAGAATACTTCATCCGTATGGGCAACGGGG